AATTATTTTGCCAGATCTTAGTTTTAAAATACCATTTATACAATAAAAGAAACTAAGATTCCTTGGAGAAATGGGTAATTCTAAGGCTGGGGCAGGGAAACACATCATGAGTCTCATGAGTCTGGAGTATCATAGTGCCAGAAAGTAAGAAAGTGCTACACACACACACACACACACACACACGCACACACACAGAGAGAGAGAGAGAGAGAGAGAGAGAGAGAGAGAGAGAGAAGTGGGAGTATGTCAAAGGGATACAGAAGCTAAATGAACAAACTCTAAATGACCAAATGTGAAACAATTTAAGGAACAAAACCAATAACATAATCTTGGACTATAACCCAAAGCATTAAATAAATATTCATGAGTTCACACTGAGAAAAATAAATAATTGGATAAATAAGTGGGGGAGAAGGTACAAATATTCCTTATAGAAGAATTCCAAATATTACAGGTAGAGAGTCTTCCATCTAGAAGGTGAAGCTTAATTCCTCTTCCCTGCTTCCTGAGTGTGAACTGGACTAAATGACTCGCTTTAAACTATAGTTTGGAAAGGGGAAAATCAGCAACTTTCAATGGAGAATCCTAGCCAACAGCACCCTAACCAAGTGAAAAAAGCTAACATGGCTGGTGATAAATCATATTGAAGTGACGTAGCCCTCTTGATACAGTGAGAAAAAACACTTCACCTCTCTGGATTTCATCCTCCAAACTCAGAGTACCAGTGTAACCATGAGAGAAACACCTAACAAATCCAAACTGAGAAATATTCTATAAAATACATGACCAATTCTCTTCAAAACTTTCAAGGTCATGAAAAATGAAAGAATACTACAATAAAGAAAAATTCTACCAATGAAACTAGGACACAATGTTTTCTTATCCTTTAGATTTTTCAATTCACACATACTGAAAGATCTCTTTTACACTTATTTAGGCATGGATTTTTATCATTGCATCATTCTTATGTTATATACACAAAAAGATAAATTGTTGCATTAGATAAATTGTTTAAAGTACTGCTAGAACTTCTTTGGGTTCAAATTTTAACTCTTCTGAATCACTTTTGTACTCAGAATCATTTGGATATCATAATATTGTCCTTTGTGCTATTATGCATGCTGGTGATGCAGTATTTCTTAAAAGAATACACCTCTGATGTCTCCAGGGCTTTTCCCTAGCAAATGATACTGCTCTGTTGAGTTTTAAAGTGCATACTCATGCAATGACAGCTACAGGTGACAGTGATTGTAAGATAGCATACATCCCAATTTCAAAGGTGTGAAAATATGCATCTCTTAATCAGTGAAAGATGAAAGACTTCTCACGGAACTGAAGGTGTAGTCAGTAGAGCACTTGCCTAGCATGCATGAGACCCTGAGTTCCAGCCCAAGTACAGAGAAAGAATAAGAAAAGAAAGAACTTCTCACGGTGGCCCTGTTTCCCTCCATATTTCTTTTCCAGGTGGAGGAAAAAACTTACCTTTTTTAAGTCCCTGCTTTTCTGGTCTTTGTTACTATGGGTAACCTAACTCAATCCCAAACTGAAATATGATTCTTAAAAATATGTTGCCATTATTTCTTTTTTCACTGTACCTTACTCTTCTCTAATGTCAACCTTGGCTTAGCAAGTCAGGTATAAATTTCTTTACCTTTCAGGTGGCCCAACATTTCACTAATGTCATTACTGTCATTTTAACCTTAAACTTAGCTTTCCTGAAGCAAATTTTCCATCAGTATCCCTTTGAAACTGAACTCAGAAAGCACACCCACACCCCTTCACATATACCCTATTTGTATAAAAATTTGTTATTTTTAAACATGAAGCATAGTATCACCTCTGAGATTACTGATAATGCCTTTCTCTACTGAATACTTGATCAGATATATATTGCTTGGGCTTACGAAAAGAAATTGGAGTTGCTGGCAAGTGAAATAAAATTAAAGGAGAATTTAAAAATCAGAAATGTAGAACATATTTCCAGAGTAAAGAAGATTCAGGAGAAATTAATGGGTGCTTTGTACTGCTTGTCACACATTTCTTAAGAAAAAAATACTTTTCCTTTTTCTGGAAAACGAAGTACAAGTTGTCAGTGACAACCATCTATTAAGAAATTTCCTTTTGTGATAGAGTGAGGATTTTTTTCCCTAGAGGTAAATTATTCAACACAGTTAATTTGAATCCGTGTTTGAGCCTGAGATGAAGTTATCAATTTTACCATTTTCCCTTAGTCTGTCCTGATACTATCATTGCTTGAGATTCTGGTACCCATAGCAACAGCCACTGTTTCAGACATCATTCCCCCAAGCAACAAAACATGGCCAAGGACTGACAATCAACCACCTGTGTATCTCCAGGTGTACTTTCCTGGGCTGGAGGACCAAGTCACATATCACTTCAAAGTTTTGAAAAGTTCAGTTACCAACGAATTGAGAAGTTTGTTCAACCCTTTTGAGAGGCATATAGAAGGGGAGGAAAATGAGGAGAGGAAAGGACAAGCCTAAACATTGTAAAGTACAATGAGGCAAACTTAATTAGTCTAGAAGTTTCTTCTTTCCACCACTGCACTGCTATTCGAAAGGCGTTTTGTGACCCTCAAACTTAACCAAAAGGAAGGAACTTAGAACATTTGCATTTTTCTTGCAAAAGAACAAAGATAAAAATAATTATGCTGCCTCTGTACCAAGATTTTCCTGCCAGGGATTCTTGAAGAAAAGCTGCAAAATGTAGCATTACAAGTAGTGGCTTGTAATAGGCACTATGTATAATCACAATTCTCTTTGAGTTTTACAGATGGGGAAATCCTGTTTTTCCAGGTAAAGTAAAAAGATATTTCTAAGTGGACTTCTCTGCATTATCTTGGAGAGTTCCTCCAAATCACAGGAAAAGGAAAGATGGGCTGAAGAGGGAGCCCTGAGAACAAGACTGAACCAGTCTGGTATCAGCTATAGATTCCAGAAAAGAGATCACAGCGGCTACAGTTCAGTGTATAGACTACAAGACAGTATGCATGGAAAACTTACAGGCTTCTCTGTCCACACTTTCAGATTAACTGAATTTGCAGGGAGAGCATATGTGTTCTGTAGCTACGCCCTTTACCTCTTGTGCCTGCAGTGAAGCTACTCCCAGTGAAAAACATCTGAGTGATTGTGCACTCTCTGGGGATTTCCAGCCCTAGGGTCTTTCTAGGTATTCAGTGCCAACCCAGGTAATAGTGTTGCTGCCTGTGTGGGGGATAGAGTCTGAACAGAGGGATTCAGGTGTACAAGTGTTGAGTGCCTTCCTGGGAGGTGCCTTGCTACCTGTTACATAGTTGTGTTGCTAATTCTGAAGGCCTCTTTCACAGGAGAAGGATTTTGGCTGATGTTTAGAAGCCATCCCCACCCTTGGCTGGAAGGCACACCTGTAATTAGGGGAAAGACTACAGTGATTAGTGCTGTCTTTGAGAGTGGGGGGATTTCCCTCCCTTCCGGTGTGGTTACCTGGCTGGATTCCCAATCTACTTACACAATTATCCTTAGCCCATTGATATACCTGCAGGGTAACAGAAAGAAAGTAAAACATGCATCAGAAAATCTGTGTTCTTGTCCCAATTCCATAACTTCTCACCTGTGTGGACTCCCTTTTTCTCACTGACAAAGACACAGTTATACTTTCAGGGAAGGGGAGTGGGGGGAAGATAGGGCAAAAGGGAAGGTAGATATATCAAGGAATGATATAATGCATGTATGCAAATGTTGTAGTGAAACCTATTAATAACTACAATTAATGTGTGTTAATGATTATAATAAAGAGTCCAAAAAGTAAAAATTCAAACTACAAACTAGAAGAGGAACTTCAGAAAACATAAAAATTTCTAAAGGACTAAAATACATAATTAAGCAATTCCCACAAATCAATAAGAAAAGGGCAAATAATCTGGTAGAAAAATTGCCAAAAGATATAAGGAAGCAGAAATGATCCACTATATTAATTTATCACTCCACTAATAGATTTTGATTCAGAGTTTGGAAGGTATTCTAGACCAGATGACTCATAGATTTGTCAATAGAAATGTGTGGTCTCTTGATACCAGGTATTGTTTACTTGTAATGTCAAAATAGACAGCATTTCCAATGTAAATTCATTTTTCTTTTGAGTTTCAAATATCACAAAATTGATAAAAAGTATTTCAAAAAAACCCCAACCAATATAAATACTTGTAATAAAATGTTTAACCTGGGGGGAAAGACATGGTCATAATACCTGCCTTTCCTATTTCATGAGGTTCTTATAAAAATAGAACACAATAATGTAAATAAAAGAATTTGAGTTTCAAAGTGCCACTTTTATTTTAGTTTGTCAACGTCACCAGATATGGGGAAGTCCATAAGGCTGGTTTTCCATTATCATTGTAGTCCAAGGTGAGTTAGTCAAAGAGGTATTCTGCCATGCTATCTTCCAGGGCTCTCATCTTGTTTCCCAGAATGAAGAAATAGTAAACATTTGTGTATTATGGTAAACTATAAGTTTTCAGGTAAAGTTGAGGATCCCTTTGTTTTAATACATGCTCAATCCCATTCCTTTTACTTCCTCAGAGGCACTTTGTGACCAGTGAATGGTCACAAAGACCCCATGAAATCCTTCCACACCATCCTAATCCTCCTGCACCCATTGTTTAGAAAGGAAGATTAATGTGTTTTCCAGGGGCCCGTGGAATACCTTTTCTCTCCACCTGTGGAGATATGAGCAGCCTGTGGATGGGACATAGGTGGATAGACAGAATCCTGGATGCATGGGGATCTGCCCTCATTCTCAAAATGAGAGTTACACACATACACACACACAAATTCTACTGGACACTTTCATTTCCTTAAGAACTAAAAAATAACTTTATTGGAAGTTAACAATCAAACTGAAAGGCCCAAACTAAAGGAAACTTGCTGAAAAGGCAATATGTAGGCCTGGCCTGGTGACCCACCGGGTAAGACTCCCTGGCATGGGCTGGGGTACAGTCCTGTTCAGTTGTTGTGGTGGCTGTGGCCCAGGGTGAGCCAGTCAAAGAAGAATTCAGCCAGGTGGTCTTCTCGGGCCTCCATCCTGCACAGGTTGGTCAGGTAGTCGCCCAGCTCACGGATGATCAAGACCTGCTGATGCAGAAAGTGGCGCTGCAGGAAGTGACAGAGGTGGGGGTCCCCCTTTTCAGTGCCCAGGCGGTGCAGCTCCAGGAGGCTCTGGTTTATATTCTTCTCCAGGTGCAGGGCACACTCCATGGCCTGGAGGCCGCTCTGCCAGTCGTCACGATCAGGCTTGGTGATGTTATGGAGGTGGACACGGCCTCCACGCTGGTTCTGCAGCGCCATCAACTTCTCAGCACGATCTCTCCACTCATGCGAACGATGCAGAAAGAAGCTGGAGAAGTGCTCCAGGGCCACTTCGTGGCGGTCACAGTAGAAGGCCATGGACAGGTACACGTAGGAGGCATACAGCTGCAACTGGATCTGGCTGTTGATGGCGGCCTCGCATTCCGGGTGATAGTTGTGGCGCACCTGCGATGGCTCTGTGAGGGCCATGGAGGGCAAAGGCTGCTGAAAGACACAGACGGTGGTAAAAGGAGAAATCAGTGGTGGCTGTGGAGCCTGCTAGGGGCCCCCAGGGTGGGTGAGGGCGGGTTAACCGAGGAGGGTAGGCTGGTCAAGGTCCTTGTCAAACCCACCTCAGGCAGAATCTAAGCGGATAATGGTGGACAATGGTGGCCGGAAGCCAGTAATGGCGGCAGGAAGTGAGCAATAGAGGCAATGGGATAGAAAACCTTGAAGCAAGGTAGGTGGTCAGGAGCGGCACTGTAAAGTCGAGTTCCATCAGCAACTAGGGCAACTCTGTGCTGACCCTATGACCTATATAATATTTTTATAAGTTATTTATGAATACAAGGGTAAGTTTTTGTGTGAATCACCTGAATAGATTCAGGGATAGAGGGTGGACAGGGTGGGGGCAGAGAATGCTAGTGCAGAGTTCCATCAGCAACCCAGGCAACACTGCTCTGAGCATTCCCAGAGTATCTAAAAAGAAAAATAGCTCTAATGAGATATAATTTATACCCCTTGGAAAAATCACCCTTGGAAAGTAAACATTTCCATGACTTTTAGTACATTCCTGGTGCTTTTCCACCACCACCAAAATCTCATTTCAGAACTTTCTTATCACTCTAAGATAAAATCCCCTATCCATTAGCAGTCATTCTCCATCTTGCCTCTCCTGCAATTCTGGCAACCACTACTGTAATTTCTGTTTCTATAGATAACCTTATTATGGACATTTCATATAAATGGAATCATAATACATGTGGCCTTTTGGGCATGACTTCTTTGACTTTGCATGATTTTTATTCTTCATCACCCCCCTTTTTTTGTTTGTTTGTTTTGGTATCAGGGATTGTACTCAGGGGCATTCAACCACAGAGCCACATCCCCAGCCCTATTTTGTATTTTATTTAGAGACAGGGTGTCACTGAATTGCTTAGAGCCTCACTGAGTTGCTAAGGCTGGCTTTGAACTCATGATCCCACTGCCTTAGCTGCTGGGATTACAGGTGTGCGCCACTGCACCAGCTATTTTGCATTCCTTTTATTGGTGAATAATATTCCATTGTATGGATATATCACATTTTATCTATCCTTTCACCAGTTGATAGACATTTGGTTTTATTTCCATTTTCTGGCTATTATGACAAATGCTGCTATGAATATTTATGTACAAGTTTTTACATGAACATATTTTCAATTTTGTGGAACTGCTGTAGTATTTTCCAAAGTGGCTACATCATTTTACATGGCCACTAGCAATGTATGAATATTCTATCTGAAATTTTGAAAGGGACTGCATTGGATCTGTAGATAATTTGGGAGATTGTTGACATCTCAATACTATTAACTTTTTCAATGCATAAACATGGGATAACTTTCCATTTATTTAAGTCCTGGATCTTTTTAAATGTAGATTATTTAGACTGGGGTCAAAATTCTGAATTTCTAAACATTGCAGGTGATGTCAATGCACACTCTTGAGTAGCAATGCTCTAAAAGGGAGGAGTAGGCCTCCATCCCTTATCAAGGTTTAGAGATAAGGAAGACACATACCTTGGTCTCTACAAACACAAATGCCTGTCCTAACCTTGAAAAGAGTGCTTATGTCAGTTACACTAGCTGTGGATGAAAGGTTTCAAAATTTAAAAAAAAATGTTTATTGCATGTCCTTTTTAGAGTAGTCTTCTGGATTATCTCCGCTTCTCACTCTCTGAGCTATTTTATAACTCTAAATTATAGAAAACTAATAATAATGCAAATCAATCTTGTCCGCAGGCATGTAATTAATTCTTGACTCATTTTGCATCTATTTGTATACTTGTTTCAGCATTTCTCTTGCCTATATATGCATAGTTCTTAAACCATTTGTAACATCTTACTGGTTTCTTCATTAATACATCTTTCACATGTATATATTTTATATTTATATAAGAGTCATCATTTTACTCCCTGCTTTTAATTATCTTTTAACACTCCTCATTCCCATACCTACTCCACCAGGAATACAGAGCTCATGGGAGGTGGTTAGCGAATAAAGTACTTTTATGATTTGCTCGTTAGAGGTATGATTCCATATTACCATTTGGGAAGTAAAGGCAAAGAATTCTTGACTGCAATATAGGCTGTGAAATCATGGCATTTCTTGGGAGGAGAAGGTAGGGGTACTTTGGGGATGCAGGGAATTAGTGAGAACCAGCAGAGGACAGAGATATTTAGAGAGCAGGCCATAGGATTAAATTAAGTAATCATAACAAATAGATACATAGTCAGTGTTGGGTAGAGGCTGGTCTGGTACACATTGGAGAGGGCAGAGAAGTAGGGGTAACAAGTAAAGACCTTCAGATAACTGGAATCCACTGACAACCAGCAGAGTGATGAGAGCTTCCAGACAGAGAAAGTAGTTAGCAGAGTTTAGAAGAGTAAAGGGTTGACAGACTCACATAGGAATTTGACAGGCTGCGATGCATGATCTAGGAAGGAGGTAGAAACCTGAGCTTTCAGAGCCAGCTTTCAGAGCCATCAGCACTTTTATGCATCCTAAATGATACCCCTTAAAGGGGTATCCATCCATACTGAGGGTGTAGAGTATCCAGGTCTGTGCCATGGGTTCTATCTTCCAGAAAACATTGCTTCTAGCTGCTGATCAGATGTAGGGAAGCTTAATACATCCTGGTTGGCTCCACTATAAGTCAGCTTTTTAGTACAAACGTCATAGGAAAGTTATTTGGCAGTTCCTATTTGGTTGGACATTAATAAGATACATCCAACACCCACACCCATTATATTCTGAAGAAGAAAAATTTTCTTCCAGTCTCCAATTCCTCACTGTTCTGTTCTGGGGAGAAAAGGGGAATCATTATTTTAAAGAACAAAGGAAAGGTCTTTGAACTTAAATATGACCATGATATGTCATCGATTTATGATGGTTGATACTAGTTCACTTAAATATATAGTATCTCAGGGGTTACAACCTTTCATATTCATTCAATGTGCTAGATATGCTCCATTTGATTTTCTAGGACTACTCTCTGTCTTCCAAGTTACTCAGAGGTTTGAGAGGGGAAGGCCAACCTGTATGGCCTTCAATCCATGTGCCCTGTATACTCTAGTTTCTGATTGGGGCCAGTTAATGGGAGGCACTGGCAGGAGATGAGAGGGTAGGAGTACAATGAAATTGGGGTATTTATTTTCTTGGCTCCCTCTCTTCAGGGCAGATAACTAAGAGGCACCTCTATTTCCCTTTCATAAGACTTTGGTCTTTGGATGAAGTAGGACCATTATTAGGACAGGCCATTTACAAACACTGCTCACTTCAAGGGAATTTACATCAAAGAAATGATGTTCATTGGCTCATGTTTAATATATGGCCTTGAGAAATTCATGGAGACCAGCATGCAGCTGTACATTCCTTCGGGGCAGAGAATAAATGGAACTGATAGAGGAAATAAACTACCTGATTTAAGGTAGTCTCTGGCAACAAAATAATGACACCCAAGATCTTGTTTTCTAGTTCATGTCTTTCTCTGGCCTCTGGCTCCCTTTTTTTTCCTTGGGTGACTAGCCCTTTGATTACCTTTCATTTAATTAGTGGACCTATTAGAATGAGGGTCAGGGAAGAGGAAGTAGGGAGAGTTATTTTCTACTTGTTAGCAACCATGTTATAAAGTCTGGTTGGGGAAGATGTTGACTTAATAAAGTTTGAGGAATATCTGTTTATTTCAAGTCAACATTTGTGCTTCTTTGTACACCTTCTATTGCTCAGGATTGCAGCTATTACAGTGTTTTACACAGCAATATGTAAGCCCAACCAATACACAAAGGGGATATAGATGTTACTTAATTAGACATCTCTTAATCATTTGCTTCTAGGAAGGAAGGTATAACTCTCAACTGCAGATAGTGAAAAGTATATTGTAGAGTTTTCTTTAGTTATTATCTTTTCTAAACAGAGAATGAGTCATTTGTGTTACCTGATATTCAATTCCTTTATAGAACACTAGGCATAATAGTCAGGCTAGCATAAGTGATGCTGCACTAACAAATCCTAAAACCCGAATAGTTGAGGAAAATATTTATTTCTTCCTCACAACAGTCTGAAGCAACTAAAGTAAATCTCTTTCATGGATCTCTACCAATGGTTAACTTACAGATCCAGGCTAAATTCCATTCTTCAGTTCTACCAATTCAGAATTTGTCACTTCCAACTACACAGAAAGGAAAGAGGAAGCATGAAGACAGAAGTCTTCTTCACTTGCTCTTCACTGCCTTGGACCAGAAGTCTTATGCATTTCAGCCCAAGCCAACTTTAAGAGAGGCTGGTAAATGTAGGGGAAAACATGATATTATAGTTTCTACCATGCATGTTTTATCCATTTCTCCTAGTCATTTTAATTAATTAGTTTGTTTGTTTGTTTATTTTGGTGCTGGGGATTGAATCCAGGGCTGGTTTACCATTGAACAACATCCCCAGCCATTTTTATTTTATTTTTTATTTAAGGTCTTGCTAAGTTTCCCAGGCTGACTTGAACTTGTTATCATCCTGCCTCTGCCTCCAGAGTAGCTGGGATTACAGGTATGTGCCACCATGCCCAGCTAGTCATTATTTTAAAGAGAACATTATTTTATCGAGAACTCACATTTTTTACCACTGTCATTTTTTTATTTACCATAGCATACATATAGTAAGGCTTCTTTGGGAAAAAGTCGTAATTGTGTGTGTGTGTGTGTGTGTGTGTGTAAGCATACAAAGTAATACAACTTGTGTGGTCTCATCTCCACATAATTCCTTCTGGAATTCCACTGTGTTCATATTTTAATCCCATCCCAGATTAAAGCTTGCCATTGTGACTCAGATCCAACTTCATCTTCTATCTAAAACCGCTTTCTGTGAAAACAGCCTCCTCTGAAAATATATAGTGTTAGTGCCACATAATTAGCATGACAGTCAATCATAGTCTGTCCATCTTGTCTGTAATTGCCCTAAACTGTTTA